CCCAACATAGGAGCACCGCAATATGTAAGGCAAACGCTAACGAGTATGAAAGAGGAAATTAATAGTAACACAATAATAGTAGGAGACTTTAATACCCCACTCACAACTATGGATAGATCAACTAAACAGAAAATGAACAAGGAAGCACAAACTTTAAAGGACACAATGGACCAGCTAGACCTAATTGACATCTATAGGACGTTTCACCCCAAAACAATCAACTTCACCTTTTTCTCAAGTGCACACGGAACCTTCTCCAGAATAGATCACATCCTGGGCCATAAGTCTAGTCTTGGTAAATTCAAAAAGACTGAAATCATTCCAGACATCTTTTCTGACCACAGTGCAGTAAGATTAGATCTTAATTACAGGAAAAAAATTATTAAAAATTCAAACATATGGAGGCTAAACAACACGCTTCTGAATAACCAACAAATCATAGAAGAAATCAAAAAAGAAATCAAAATATGCATAGAAATGAATGAAAATGAAAACACAACAACCCAAAACCTATGGGACACTGTAAAGGCAGTGCTAAGGGGAAGATTCATAGCATTACAGGCCTACCTCAAGAAACAAGAAAAAAGTCAAATAAATAACCTAACTCTACACCTAAAGCAACTAGAGGAGGAAGAAATGAAGAACCCCAGGGTTAGTAGAAGGAAAGAAATCTTAAAAATCAGGGCAGAAATAAATGCAAAAGAAACTAAAGAGAGCATAGCAAAAATTAACAAAGCTAAAAGCTGGTTTTTTGAAAAAATAAACAAAATTGACAAACCATTAGCAAGACTCATTAAGAAACAAAGGGAGAAGAACCAAATTAACAAAATTAGAAACAAAAATGGAGAGATCACAACAGACAACACTGAAATACAAAGGATCATAAGAGACTACTACCAGCAGCTCTATGCCAATAAAATGGACAACTTGGAAGAAATGGACAAGTTCTTAGAGAAGTATAACTTTCCAAAACTGAACCAGGAAGAAATAGAAGATCTTAACAAACCCATCACAAGCAAGGAAATCGAAACTGTAATCAGAAATCTTCCAGCAAACAAAAGCCCAGGACCAGATGGCTTCACAGCTGAATTCTACCAAAAATTTAGAGAAGAGCTAACACCTATCTTACTCAAACTCTTCCAGAAAATTGCAGAAGAAGGTAAACTTCCAAACTCATTCTATGAGGCCACCATCACCCTAATTCCAAAACCAGACAAAGATGCCACAAAAAAAGAAAACTACAGGCCAATATCACTGATGAACATAGATGCAAAAATCCTTAACAAAATTCTAGCAAACAGAATCCAACAACATATTAAAAAAATCATACATCATGACCAAGTGGGCTTTATCCCAGGAATGCAAGGATTCTTTAATATCTGCAAATCAATCAATGTAATACACCACATTAATGAATTGAAAGATAAAAACCATATGATTATCTCAATAGATGCAGAAAAAGCCTTTGATAAAATTCAACATCCATTTATGATTAAAACTCTCCAGAAAGCAGGAATAGAAGGAACATACCTCAACATAATAAAAGATATATATGACAAACCCACAGCAAGCATCACCCTCAATGGTGAAAAACTGAAAGCATTTCCCCTGAAATCAGGAACAAGACAAGGGTGCCCACTCTCACCACTACTATTCAACATAGTTTTGGAAGTTTTGGCCACAGCAATCAGAGCAGAAAAAGAAGTAAAAGGAATCCAGATAGAAAAAGAAGAAGTGAAACTCTCGCTGTTTGCAGATGACATGATCCTCTACATAGAAAATCCTAAAGACTACCAGAAAATTACTAGAGATAATCAATGAATACAGTAAAGTTGCAGGATATAAAATTAACACACAGAAATCTCTTGCATTCCTATACACTAACAATGAGAAAACAGAAAGAGAAATTAAGGAAACAATACCATTCACCATTGCAACAAAAAGAATAAAATACTTAGGAGTATATCTACCTAAAGAAACAAAAGACCTATACATAGAAAACTATAAAACACTGATGAAAGAAATCAAAGAGGACACAAACAGATGGAGAAATATACCGTGTTCATGGACTGGAAGAATCAATATTGTCAAAATGGCTAGACTACCCAAAGCAATCTACAGATTCAATGCAATCCCTATCAAACTACCAACGGTATTTTTCACAGAACTAGAACGAATAATTTCACAATTTGTATGGAAATACAAAAAACCTCGAATAGCCAAAGTAATCCTGAGAAAGAAGAATGGAACTGGAGGAATCAATCTGCCTGACTTCAGACTATACTACAAAGCCACAGTCATCAAGACAGTATGGTACTGGCACAAAGACAGAAATATAGATCAATGGAACAGAATAGAAAGCCCAGAGATAAATCCACGAACCTATGGTCACCTTATCTTTGACAAAGGAGGCAAGGATATACAATGGAAAAAAGACAACCTCTTTAACAAGTGGTGCTGGGAAAACTGGTCAACCACCTGTAAAAGAATGAAACTAGAACACTTTCTAATACCATACACAAAAATAAACTCAAGATGGATTAAAGATCTAAATGTAAGACAAGAAACTATAAAACTCCTAGAGGAGAACATAGGCAAAACACTCTCCGACATAAATCACAGCAGGATCCTCTATGACCCACATCCCAGAATTTTAGAAACAAAAGCAAAAGTAAACAAATGGGACCTAATGAAACTTAAAAGCTTTTGCACAACAAAGGAAACTATAAGCAAGGTGAAAAGACAGCCCTCAGATTGGGAGAAAATAATAGCAAACGAAGCAACAGACAAAGGATTAATCTCAAAAATATACAAGCAACTCCTCCAGCTCAACTCCAGAAAAATAAATGACCCAATCAAAAAATGGGCCAAAGAACTGAACAGACATTTCTCCAAGGAAGACATACAGATGGCTAACAAACACATGAAAAGATGCTCAACATCACTCATTATCAGAGAAATGCAAATCAAAACCACAATGAGGTACCATTACACACCAGTCAGGATGGCTGCTATCCAAAAGTCTACAAGCAATAAATGCTGGAGAGGGTGTGGAGAAAAGGGAACCCTCTTACACTGTTGGTGGGAATGCAAATTAGTACAGCCACTATGGAAAACAGTGTGGAGATTTCTTAAAAAGCTGGAAATAGAACTGCCATATGACCCAGCAATCCCACTTCTGGGCATACACACCGAGGAAACCAGTTCTGAAAGAGACACGTGTACCCCAATGTTCATCGCAGCACTGTTTATAATAGCCAGGACATGGAAGCAACCTAGATGCCCATCAGCAGACGAATGGATGAGGAAGCTGTGGTACATATACACCATGGAATATTACTCAGCCATTAAAAAGAATTCATTTGAATCAGTTCTAATGAGATGGATGAAACTGGAGCCCATTATACAGAGCGAAGTAAGCCAGAAAGATAAAGACCATTACAGTATACTAACACATATATATGGAATTTAGAAAGATGGTAACGATAACCCTATGTGCAAAACAGAAAAAGAGACTCCTATGTATAGAACAGACTTGTGGACTCTGGGAGAAGGCGAGGGTGGGATGTTTCAAGAGAACAGCATTGAAACACGTATATTATCTAGGGTGAAACAGTTCACCAGCCCAGGTTGGGTGCATGAGACAAGTGCTCGGGCCTGGTGCACTGGGAAGACCCAGAGGGATTGGGTGGAGAGGGAGGTGGGAGCGGGGACCGGGATGGGGAATACATGTAAAAAAAAAAAAAAAAAAAGATACACTATGGTTGTGATTAAAAAAAAAAATCCAAAAAAAAAAAAAAAAAGAAATCCATCTTTGAAAAGATGGATTAATTGATGGATAGAAAGATGGATGGAGGAAAAAACAGAAATACATAGTAATGCAAGTATAGTTAAATGTTTACAAAGGAATATAGGTGGTAGATATATGGATATTCATTTTTAAATTCAAATTTATTTTTAAACACTTTCATAATAAAATGTTGGAAAATGCAATAATCAGCATTATGTGCTGAGAAGATCTTGGGCAAGGGTAAGTAGCTGAAAGGAGAGGAGTAAAGGGATCAGAGTTTAGATCCTGGGTGAATTAAGTGGAAATGATATATTATTAACAAAATATAAAACCAAGGAGAAGAGTCAATGTTTTACATAGCATAAAGAGAAGGAAGATAAAGATGAATTTTATTACAGAGTGAATCTGAAATAAAAGAAAGAAAGCCAAATTAAACTGTCTAGCAAGTAAGTAGAGGCCAAGCCCAGAGAGATTTAGAAATCATCTACATAAAGTTGATATCAACTTTTAAGGAAGAGAAAAAGAACAGAATGAAGTTGAAGATCTTGAAGACTACCTTAGGGGCTGAAAACAAAACAAAATAAAATAGAGAAGCAGCTAAAAGAATGAATGGAAAGTTACATCAAAAAAGAAAAGAAAAGAAAGTATAAATAAGCTACAAACAACTTTCAATTACAATTCTCTTTTGGGATACACTGAGGGGTAACAACAAACTTCCAATGGAAAGCTATCCTTAGTTTAAGTAAGGAAATTCAAGGCAGACCAGACCTCCCCAGCAACTCCTCTCCCAAAAACCTTTTCCAATTCCTCAAAATTCAGTTGGAATCCTAAATATCAATAATGTAACAATTTCATGTACTTCTGGTGGGCATTAAATAAAAGAAACGGAGAAAACTTTGTTATCAACTCCTACTTTTCAAGAAAAATAGTTGAGAACAGATACCCAGCTGCAAATCTTCTTTAGGGCAGACATGCAGCTACCTTAGAAAAGCAGCATGAGTCAGCTCAATCATCCTCTTCTCAATGATGCAAAAGATATTCTCAGCTTTCAGTTGCTCCTTTCCTTAGTCATTTCACCAGCACTGCTCTCAGTTTCCATTTGGTTCCCCCACCCTACCCTCATTGGTCAACCAAAGAGAGATATACTCTAAAATTAAAAAGAGAAAAACAGATCTAAATAACCCTCACCTAAGTCTCAAAATCTACTTACCTTGAGGCAGATCACTGCCACTTGGATCACAGGAATAAGGTGGAAGTGGTGGTGCTAAGTTTGAAGCCTTTCCTACCTCAAGAGGAGGAGGAGGGGGTGGTGGTGGTAGTGGAGGAGGTGGAGGTGGTAGAGGGCCAGCAGCAGCAGGAATAGGAGCAGAGAGGTATGGATAGGATGGTGAAGCAAACACTACAAAAGAAACAAAACAAAGTAGCAATGCCACAACTGTAACACCTTATAAGCAGTAGCTCATCTATTTCTTTTGTGTTCTCAATTCCAACAAGCAACTCTCTAAGTCTTATGGTTTTTGACTTAAAAACAAAAACTTAGAAGGTAAACTCTCCAGATTCTTTTATTAGACATGCCAGCTGAAAATGAGTTCAACATAGGTTATTTGGAGTTAAGGAAATTACTTGACATTAAAAGGAAAAAAGAAAACTGAAGCTACAAGGTTTGACTACCAAGATTTTGAACAGGTACATAAACACTATTAAGGCAAAATTCTCACTTAGCTTAATATAAAGTTAAGGATGTTTTCAGCCATATGCAAAAACACAAGACGTAGACACTAATAGGAGAGACTAAATTGCACAGATTACAAATTTAAGCAATCCTTGAAGATTTCTACTTGGTAGTATCAGAGGAATATAGAGAACTCTAAATCATAACAGTACCATTTGTGATGACCTACAGAATCTAAAACAGACAGGCTACATGAAACTACCTTATTTTCTTTGATTTTCTGTAACTGTTACTATAGTTTAAAAACAAGATTCATTTACGAGTTTCATAGTTTTTGACATAAGAAATTTAAATACAATTTTGTTCAAATATTAATGCGTTTGTCTATGATGATAAAGGAAACAGTGAAGCTCCAACCTAGTAAAAATAAATATCTCCATATATACATACTATGTTAGATAAATCTGTTAAATTTTTTGAAAATTATTGATACAACCTTTCAAGTTTAATTGAACATCTTAGCTGACTTAGAAATTCAAGTACTAAATTTTATCATTGTGTTACCTGTATTATAATTTTAACCTTCAGAACTATAGGCAGTTTAGGCTCAGTAGTCAATAAAGGTTTAAATTCAGAGTTTTAGAACACTTAATTTAGTTAAGTGTTGTCCACATAAGCTGAATTTGTTATTCTGGTGATTTAGCAAAAGGAATTTAAGGCCAACTATCAGAAGTAATCCCTATAGGACCTTCTAGAACTAACACCAAAAACAGATGTCCTTTTCATCATAGGGGACTGCAATGAAAAAGTAGGAAGTCAAGAGATACCTGGTGTAACAGGCAAGTTTGGCCTTGGAGTACAAAATGAAGCAGGGCAAAGGCTAACAAAGTTTTGTCAAGAGAACACACTGGTCATAGCAAATACCCTTTTCTAACAACACAAGAGATGACTCTACACATGGACATCACCAAATGGTCAATACCAAAATCAGACTGATTATATTCTTTGCAGTTGAAAATGGAGAAGCTCTACACAGCCAGCAAAAATAAGACTTGGAACTGACTGTGGCTCATATCATGAACTGCTTACTGAAAAATTCAGGATTAAACTGAAGAAAGGAAAACCACCAGGCCATTCAAATAAGACCCTTATGATTATACAGTGGAGGTGATGAATAGATTCAAGAGATTAGATCTGGTAGACAAGAGTGCCCAAAGGACTATGAATGGAGGCTACATTGCACAGGAGGCAGTGACAAAAACCATCCCAAAGAAAAAAGAACTGGAAGAAAGCAAACTGGCTGTCTGAGGAGGCTTTACAAATAGCTGAGGAAAGAAGAGAGGCAAAAAGCAATGGAGAAAAGGAAAGATATACCCAACTTAATGCAGAGTTCCATAGTACAGCAAGGAGAGATAAGGTGGCCTTCTTAAATGAACAATGCAAAGTAGTAGATGAAAACAACAAAACAGGAAAGACTGAGATCTCTTCAAGAAAACTGGAGATATAACAGGAACATTTCATGCAAGGATGGGCACAATAAAGGACATAAACAGTTTCCTGACAGAAACAGGACCTAACAGAAGCAGAAGAGATTTAGAAGAGGTGGTGAGAATACACAGAAGAGCTATACAAAAAAGGTCTTAAGGACTTGGATAACCACAATGGTGTAATCACTCACCTAGAACCAGATATCCTGCACTGTGAAGTCAAGTGGATCTTAGGAAGCATCACTACAAAGTTAGTGGTCGTGATGGAATTCCACCTGAGCTATTTCAAATCCTAAAAGATGATGCTGTGAAAGTGCTGCACTCAATATGCCAGCAAATTAGAAAAAACTCAGCAGTGGCCACAGGACTGGAAAAGGTCAGTTTTCATTCCAATCCCAAAGAAAGGCAATGCCAAAAAATGTCCAAACCATAGAACAACTGTGTTCATTTCACATGCTAGCAAGGTTATGCTCAAAGTCCTTCAAGCTATGCTTCACCAGTATGTGAAGCAAGATGTGCAAGCTGGGTTTCAAAGAGGCAGGGGAACCAGAGATCAAATTGCCAACATTCACTGGATAATGGAGAAAGCAACACAGTTCCAGAAAAACATCTACTTCTGCTTCACTGACTACACTAAATCCTTGAATGTGTGAATCACAACTGTGGAAAACACTTAAGAGATGGGAATACCAGACCACCTTATCTGTCTCCTGAGAAACCTATATGTGGGTCAAGAAGCAATAGTCAGAACCTAACATGAACAATGGACTGGTTTAAAAATGGGAAAGGAGAAAGACAAGGCTGTATACTGTCACCTTGTTTATATAACTTATATGTGGAGTACATCAAGTGAAATAATGCCAGCTTGGATGACTCACAAGCAGGAATCAAGACTACTGGGAAAGATATCAAGAACCTCAGATATGCAAATGAGTGAGTGAGTGAAGTCACTCAGTCGTGTCTGACTCTTTGCGACCCCATGGACTGTAGCCCACCAGGCTCCTCCGTCCATGGGATTTTCCAGGCAACAGTAGTGGAGTGGGTTGCCATTTCCTTCTCCAGGGGATCTTCCCAATCAAGGGATCGAACCTAGGTCTCCCGCATTGCAGGCAGACACTTCACCATCTGGGCCACCAGGGAAGCTTAAAGAGTCTCTAGGGAAGGGTTAAAGAGGAGAGTGAAAAAGCTGGCTTAAAACTCAACATTCAAAACACTAAGACCAAGGCATTCATTCCCATCATTTCATGGCAAATAGATGGGGAAACAATGGAAACGGTGAGAGATCTTACTTTCTTTGGCTCCAAAATCACTGTGAATGGTAAGTACAGCCATGAAATTAAAAGACGTTTGCTCCTTGGAATAAAAGCTACTAACAAACATAGCATATTAAAAAAGCAGAGACATCACTTGCCAACAAAGGTTCATTTAGTCAAACCTATGGTTTTTCCAGTAGTCATGTAAAGATGTTAAGAATTGGACGATAAAGAAGGCTGAGCACCAAAGAATTGATGCTTTTGAACTGTGGTGCTGGAGAAGACTCCCGAGAGTCCCTTGGACTGCAAGGAGATCAAACTAGTCAATCCTAAAGGAAATCAACCCTGAATATTCATTGGAAGGACTGAGGCTGAAGCTGAAGCTCCAGTTCTTTCACCACCTGATGCGAGGAGCCAACTCACTGGAGAAGTCCCTGATGCAGGGAAAGATGGAAGGCAAAAGGAAAGGAGGGTGGCAGAGGATAAGATGGTTAGATAGCATCACTGACTCAATGGACATGAATTAGAGCAAACTCTGGGAGACAGTGAAGGACAGGGAAGCCTAACCTGCTGCAGTCCATAGATCACACAGATTTGGACAGGACCTAGCAACTTAACAACAACAATATAAGCTTTATATAGCTACAGGCCAACAGTTAAAGGAAATGTAAGTCTTAGGGTGATTTAAAACTTGATAACTAACTCTTTTGAGGGCGATGAAACTGTTCTCTCTTGGTTTTGGTGGTGATTGTACAATGCATTGTTAAAACTCATAGAACAGGGCACCAAAAATGAATTTTACTGTACATTTAAAAAATTTGTTCAAATAACTTTTGATTTTGGAGTTTATGCATGTAGAAATCTCCACTTTTACAGTTTTAGAAGAGGAATTTAATTTTTAGAACATCTCCAAATGCTCTAAGGACTTTATGGATTTGTTTTCTATAAAATAATGGCTTCAACAAAGCCTCACTCATTTCTTCTAAATTAGCACTCAAATAACACCATTTTTTTCCCAAAAAAAGCAACTGAAATGAGTTCAATCAGTAGAAGTGATTATGATTACAAGGTAAAAACCAACTACTAGACATACAAGTAGATAAGTAAGTTCTCATTGGCCTGAGAGAATCAAGGACAGAAGAAATTTGGTGGTTACTTTGTCTGAACCGACCTTTATTTTAAAATGCATATTATAATATACTCTATAAGAAAGAATTTTTAAAACTTCCAGTTGCTCTAGAGATGCATGAGCATCTCATTCACAGATTTAATGGGGCTCCAAACAGGCTTAACAGGTTTAGTTCAAAGAAGGGACCCAGAAAAATGGAAGAAAACTTCTAAAATGTGAATGAAAACCAATGAAATGCATGCAGCTGCAGGCTGCTTCAGGACATTTCAGAAGAGAACGTAAAGATTTGTATTCTCTAGAGATCAATGGGCAGGGCCAGGACCAAAGTGCAGTGAGGTGCAAAATTTAAAGGGCCACCAAATTAAAATAAAAAAAAATCCATGATTAATAAAATATCAAAATTTTAAAAGACAGGATCTGCGGGGAGCCGGCCTGCTCAAGGCCCAAAAAGGCCCTGGGAAAGCCTTGAAAGAGGCTGTTCCCTGTCCCACCACCCCATGATAAAGTAGTAAAACATTTGCTGGGCCTCCTTTGTTCTTCCTTGAGAAAAACGTAGTAGTGACCTTCACTTAGTAGTTTATCTTGGAATGCCAAAAACAAGATGTAAGCTTCAGCAATCACTTAAGACAAAAAATTGTATTGATGTAACAAACACCAGATGGCATTTTTTATGAACTGTTTTCTGCTTGTACTAGTATAAAGGTAGCTGCTTTACTCAATAAAATCGCTGACTTGCCTAAAGAGCATTTCAGTCCTCTCAACCCCATTCTTTACTTTCAGCTCCTTTTTCTCAGGCTTCCGTGTTGCTGCGGTCTAGACCTGTTCACATTGCCGGCTGGTACCAGCAAGGATCCAAGC